TGGGAAAAGATTTGGAAACCTTCTTCTGGCAGCCTTGCCAAGCAAAGGCTGATGAGCATTTTCAGCTTCACCCCATTGAAATAGCACGGTGCTGCTGAGCAGGAGGAGTGACTGGTTCCTTTATTAATATCACAGCACTTCTCATTTTCACTAGTATCCCACAAAATCCTTCTGCCTTAATGCAATGCAATACTCATGCGGCTAATCAGCGCTGGTGATAGGATGCAAACACGCGGTGGTGCTGGTGGCAGTCGTGCCAGTCCCCTTGCTGGGATAAGAGTAACCGGAGCAGCAGGAGCGCCGTGCAGCTCGGCATTGCCCTCGCCTTGGGTTTCTCCTGCAGCCCCCCGGCATGGGAACGGAGAGGGTCCGGTTACCCGTCTCCATCCCCTCGGCTGCATCTTGTCCCAGACTGTTGGTGTGGGCATGAGTTTTTGTGGTTTGCCATGCCTAAACTCTGCACTCAGGTCCAGGCTCAGATTTCCATGGAAAACCAAATGGACACAGATTGCCAAATAAGCTTGTATAATTTAGTGGTATTTTTTTTTCTTCGTGGCACTTTGTGGGCTTAATTTAATCCCTGTCATTCCTCATATGTGGGTAAATGTCATCTACTTCATTTCATGAATGAATTAACACAGCCAGGCAGAGTCGGCGCCTCCTGCACCATTCACTTGGAAGGGGGAAGGGATTAAGGAAAGAGCTAGGAAATTAGCTCTTAGATTAGGAAATTAGCATGCCCCAAGTTGCTAAACCCCAGCCTGGGTTAGAGATATCGGGGTGCAGATCTTGTGTGCACCGCGGGTGTAAAGCGTTTTTGGGAGACCCTGACTGCTCTGTGCAAGGCCCCAATCAGTCCTTCTCTTCCTTAACCCTAGAAATACCACTTTTGTAGTGTGAGTCTTTCACTGGCCCCAGTGACAGTGGAGCTCCTTTAAAAAGAGCTGTGCTTTTAACAGTAGGAAGAATATAAATAATCCCAGAATTTTCTCCCTTTTTTCGGTATTTCCTTAAGCACGTCAGGAAGCAGAGGTCTCCTGGCAAGGTGCAAGTGCGCGATAGCATGGAGGTTTTTGGCATGCAGAAGATAGCATTTTTAATCCGGGGTGTGTGGACAAAGAGGTGGATGCGCAGCAATGCCGAGCAGCACTGAATGTATGCGCGAGCCTCCGTGCGCCGTGTTACATGATATTTTTAATACAGAGAGGAATTAAATTTAATAGTTCTGTGTGCTTATTTTTAAGGCTTTCATGACTTGAAAAGAAGCATAGTTCATCGAAAAAGGAAATGAGAAACAATTTATTCTTAAATAGAAATCACTGTGGCCATGCCGTCTTTTTTATGAATTTGCACAATGGGCCGGATTATTCTTAGGCTAAGGCATGTCTGCACTGGCAGAGCTGCGCCTCAAAACTTTTCCTCTGCGCCTGAGACTGCTCAGGGCTGTCGCTGCCTCTTTTTCTTGTGCAGTAGGTTCACCTGTTTCTAATTTTTCTTCTTTATTATTATTGATTTTTATTATTTTTTTTTTTCCTGAAGAGGCGGCCTGAGTTTCTTCGCTCCCTGATCCGGAGCGCTCCGCTTGGCGTGCCCTTCCACACGCTTCCCGCTCCCTGCTGTGTAGCAGAGGGTGCCCTTTGCTCCCTGCACCGTGGTTATTTACACCGCGGGCACCCGGGCCCTTGCGTGGGCCTCCTCCTGGTGCAGAGCTCCTACCAACTAGGGGACCTGGGGGCCTCCAGGCGCTGCTGTGACCCCAGTACAAATTGGGCTCCCTGGCACCTGACAGTTTTTCCTTGCTCCACGCGGGCCAGGAACGCCGTTTCTGGGGAGATGGATGGGCTGTGCAGCCATTAGTTACGTCCTAGTTAGTCCAGCAGGCCTACTGCTGGCCTACAAGGAGCTGGAGGCCGCAGCAAATCACTTTGCTGACCTCCAGAATAATTAAGCAGTTTGAAGCCCTCTTTTAAACGAGCGGCGTGCGGCTCATTCGTGCCCTTCTCTGCCTGCTGAGTGGATGTCTCTAAATAACAGAGGTGGTGTGAATGAGGAACTTGTTTTTCTTTGGAAGCGTCTCCTAAGAAAATGAGAGTTTTTTACTCCCGTATTCCTGTATGTTTGCATACTTCTCTTTTTCTTTTCTTTGTGTTTTCTTCATGGTGTTCTCTGTTCTTTGTTCTTCCCTGAGGAAGAAGGAGATAATAAAATTTCCTTTTTTTTCTTTTTTTTTTTCCATTTAGCTTTCCAGATGATCTTTGTGTACTTTACCAGACTGCAGCATGGTAAACAAAGCCTTGTTTATTGCCTGGCAGCACGTATATGCTTTATGATTAATGTGATGTTTGAAATACACAGGGCTGGTAATAGATAGGGAGATCAAAGTCTTCTCTGAATTGGCAGCAGTGCTGTAAGCAGGTGAGGGGGGTTACAGGTGCTTCTCGTGATGGTGTTGGACAAAACTACCTGGGCCAGTTGCCCTGCTGTGCACTACAGACGTCTGCTGCAAACGCAACTGCAGCAACTGCCCCTGAAGTTTAAGCATAAATTTAAATGGAAATTTAAAGGAAATTCCCCCAGCAGTGTAACTTAGCTTACACCCGTCTACACTTGAAAATTGTACTTATGAGTGAGTGATGAATTTTTATTTCTATCCGTATGGCAGTATTAGAGCAGGTTCTGGAGTGTACAGAGTTGTATCACCAGGAAGACTGCACACTGCATTCACAAATGCTTGTGTTTTTACAGGAGTGAGCTAGATTAAGAGTGTTTTTATTTCACTCCTAACATCCTGCATGAAAATATACTAAAGGATAGGGTCAAGCAGTTTATGTGTACTGTATTGCTATAGTTAAAGGCAGAACTTTTGTGTGTGGACAGGCCCTAAGAAAAGATTAACCTGGAGAAAGTTAATAAAAAGTGCCATCCTAAATTATTCATGAATCCATTTGTAATATGCTTGCTGGGAGGCTTTTGTTTTCCTGAAACTCTTATTTATTAAAATCTGACAAGAATATCGTTTTTTATTCAATAATAAATCTAAGCCTATGCAAGCCAGGCGATATCCTCATGTAGTTATACAGAATAAAAATGAAGTTACATGGCAGGGTTGTTTGGAAAGAATAGATTATTGTTTAGGAGGATTTTATCTTTTACTTGCCATTTCAACACAAGTAAACAAATTCTAATCAGGAGATATCCGCCTGGATGGAAAAGGCGGCCTTAATTCTGCAAAGGATTTAAAGTTTTTTTAAAACTCAGGTGTTCAAAGTTAAACATATTTCCAGTATTTTTGCAGATTCTGGTCCTGTGCTTGATAAGTGAAATAGCTCAGTCTTATTATTATTATTCCATACTTAAGTCTTCTAATATTTTTTGCCTTTTTTTTTCCTTTTTTGCTTAACTTCAGCCAGAAGAACATGGAAGTCATGCTCCTAGCTTGTAGATTTTGAATTTTCCAAAGCATGTCCATACATGCCCACTTCATTTTGTGCCTTAGAAAAGGTTAGAAAGATTATGTACAGTGAGTAGGAGAATGGAAAGAAGCCAGGAAGAGAGCTTTTTCTGTTTGGGGTGTGATAAAAGACGATCGTCTGAAAGTCCTTTACACTAAGTCATTTCTTAAAAGCTGGTTGAACTCTGCTTAAAAAGCAATTTAAGATATTGTTTGGATATTTTCAATATATTAATTTTAATGGAT